GATTTCGCTATTCGCGCGAGTCGACGACCAAACAAACGTAACTCCGTCGTATGACGATAAGTAGTTGGCGTGATTACTGTAATGTAGATACCGTTTAATCGCGACGATCGTAATGGCTGAATTTTCTCCTCTCTAAGCTCTAATTAAATTATGTGATTGTGTCTGTTACCTCGACGGATCTTCTATAGAGTCACATATTTTTCAATTTCCAACGTGCGCGTTGCATGTCATTTAAAAGACACACGTCTCATGATAATACAATAACGTGCAGTGACAATGAAAAGAGAAACGAACATCAACAGGCACAAATGTTCATAATATTATTTCTAACGATATCACGCTAATCAAACAGTCACTGATTAGAGCTAATGGTCTTAAATGGACATATGCAAAACTTTCATGTGTATGACAGCTCACTAATCTTATAAATTAATTAATATTTAGTGCCGTGTCACACACAACATTTCTTGCATTGCTTACTATAAATAGAAAAAAAGATGATTACTTCATTATTTAGAAAATTTAATTCATGTATCCGAGCAGAGGAAGATCGACTCGAAATTTACCCGAGAAAATCTATCTTTAAAATTACAATCAGGTTGCTTCTCTGTTTTCTATTTTTAAGAAAATCAGTGGAAAAGTATAAAAATGATTCCGGTGAACATAGGATGATGAAATTACATTTTCTTTCATTTAACAACTATTACCAAGCACTCATCTGTGTCGATACTTGAGCAGTATCTGTCAGGAATTAAGTAAAAGAGATTAATTCCGACGGGTTCCATCAAAATTTAGAAGGAACCAAAATCCGGATCCTCCTTCTTTTCATTAAAATCTCACGTGTAGTTGAAGAGATATTAAAAGTAGAAATTAAAAATATTGCACGCTAACTTCAAGGAGTACGTATATAATGCAAATTTCATCAAATTCTCACGAAATTCGTTTTATAATACAATTATCTTAAAATTAACGAGGGTAAATATATCGATTAACGAATTTGACTTCTCCAACGATCTTGAACTTGACATGTATTATTACAAAAAGTATGCTGAATACAAAAAGTTTCAACTTTTATTAACAAAAGAAATTTAACAAATATTACAATTAGCTTAAACTAACCTACGTTATTTCGGCATTTCTGTACGTCAAAAATAAATTACTTCTTAATCTTTATTATAATCTTTATTATAATCTTTATTATAATCTTTATTATATTTAAGTTATATTTTTTATAGGATATAACTCTAATACATTCTAATATATCTCATAATTAACTCTAATATATCTCATAATTGTAAAAAATTGATCGATTCTATTAGAATAATCATAAAAACGTTTAAAAAGAAATTCTGCTAAATAATGAAAATAATGTTTTATTCTTATTAACGAGGTATTGTTTCCCGCATATCCACTAAACATACTATCGTTGCGACCACATTGCTAATAATTTGTTAAAAAAATATAAAGTAATTATTTGATTCAAAAGAGATTACTCCAATGACATTAATCCTAACATTGTTAAGGGAATGCTGGGATACTATTCCGTACACGCTTACCGATCCGACAATTGTCGGTAAGCGTGTACGGAATAGTACCCCAAGAGTCGATGACGAACTCGAACAATGTCGATAATGTAGAGACGACTGTCACTAACATAATCACGCTATCCTTTTCGTATTCCTTGTATATACAGAACTTACATAAATGTGTGTTGCTTTGTTTTACCACATTCAACGGAAAACCTAACCATATATGTGTAAAAAACTTTCTGCAAACTTTTTCGATATTTTTAAGCTTTCAAATACAGGTGCGAAGGTAAAGCAATATTCTTCAAAATTTTTCTATTTGAAGCATCCACACTTTCGATATGTACAAGCTGTGGAACTTTTGGATTAGACAAATATTACGCTGACAGCTTGAGATTTTACATTAAAAATTTTTTGTTCGTTTTCGTCACATATCGAGCAATGCTCCTATTTATTTTTACACGTACTTTCATTGCGTAAAAGGATTTGTAATTCTGTGTAACTAATACGACGTTAACTTTGCAAAAAAATGTCAGTGTTCTGTCGGAAAAGTTTTCAGCTTCAGCATCCCCTTAAGGTCATAACTCACGATTATCTACAAAAATAATTGTGATAAAATGAATATATTCCTCATTGTAATCAATAATTGCTGTCAACAGAAGTTTGTCCAATCAACAACAGTTTTAAGATTCATTTATAGTTCCTGTAGAAATATTTGGTGTGGCGATCTGATCATTAAAAAATATATAATAAAATTTAATTAAAAGTTTTGAAATCAGATTCCATGTAATACAGATGATATAAAATTGTATGTTTGTTTTTGTAGGAAAATGGAAAGTTTCTGAAGTTGTTTATAATATATATTCGTGCAACGAATTAAGCTAGTCCCTTCAGACCGATAATGTAATATATTTTCATTTTAGATACTTAATTTCACATGGAATAATCTCTTTATCAAACAAATAATTTATTAAATTATCGTAATTATATGTTAGATTAAAAAACTCGTGAAGAAACATGATAATTTAACAAAAACGATAGAAAGATTAATATTAGTCAAAAAAGAGATAAGAATGTCTACATGACTCACAATAAATAATCACAATAACTTAACAAAAGTAACTGAAAGATTGATGGTAGAAAGAAAACAAGAACCTGTTTATAAGACTACGGTAATCATTTATCTAGTGTGTGTTTGAATTTACTAAATTAGCATATAACAGATATTAAACTGTTACTTAAACATATATATAAAATGTCTTACTATCTTTTTTTTATGTTACTGATTTTAAAATTTTCACGAATTTGTAACTATATTCGAGAAAACTGTCATTTGTTTTTTGATTCCGTACAAAAGCCCCTACGCAAGGTATGTATTTATCACTGAAATATTTATTCTGTTGTATTTCTAAAGCCAAACCTTGCGTAGGGGCTTTTGCTAATCCTTTCAGAATTAATAATTTTAGCATATAATAAACTCATTAATTCAATAAGGCGAAAGATTTAAACGCTAAATATATAGAGTCCACCAACAAAAACTTTCCACTTCGATTATTTTATAACCAACATTTTATTTGTTTTGATTTTTGTCAAAAATACTAATACAGTCAAAAATACTGATACAAATTCACGAAAAACTTAAAATTTAATAACATAAAAAATGATAGTAGGACATTCTATGTATATGTTGGTATTTAAGTTTAATATCTGTAACATGCTAATTTTTTCAGAATTTATAATTTTAGTATATAATAATCTCATTGTAATTTAGTAAAGTGAAAGATTTAAGCACTAAATATATTTATAAATAAAAATATTTCTAAATTTTTAAGCAAAAATCATATTTACATGACATTTTAATCTGCTAAACGTTTATTAAATTTTTATTAATAGCTTTGTAATAATCCGATGAAATTTTTGTATGTTTTTCAGTATATCTTTCTTAATAATATATGTCAAAGTCAGGATCGTTGAAGAGAGGTTTGTTAATCGGTTACTTACCGATTAACTTTCAAAATCGTAATTATTTAGAAATATTTTTTCTGAGTTCTAAGTTGGAGCCCATTTTGAGTTTTTGATATTCGTTGAATCGTTTGAAAAATAGTGATAAATAATAATATGAAATAAGATGTTCCATATTACTACGTCTTATATTTCCATGTCTTATGCAGTGGGTGTGAAAATGACGTTTTTATTTGCGAAGTTATTCGCAAATAAAAAGTTGTTTTAACATCAATTTTATGATAACAAAAAGTAAACGTTTTATTGTTATGTCTGTTTCATGTTTTTACTTCATTTTCCAAGATCCAATTTCTTACTCTATGTTTAAAAAAAAATCTGTGCTCTGAACAGTTTATTTTTTTTCTTAATGATTATAAATACATTATAAGAGATATATTTTCTAACATTTCTGACAGTTATTAATGCCATTATTGCACTTAATATTGGATTTTTCGTCTAAAACAAAATTACGTTTCATATTCCTACCTTCTCTATTATTCGTTTTTTGCTGTTATATAAAAGTATATTGGCTTTAATATGAGTATATTTCAATCATGCAATGCGAATTTTGTAAATGACAAAATTTTATGCGTGAAATACTTTTTCAATAAATGTTAGAAAAAAAGTCACAAAACAAAAAAGTAGGTAACTCAGAAGTCAAATCTAGCATCTCCCCATATCACGAAAACCTTAAATATCACATTAATAATGTATTTTGGGATACCCGATATGTTAAAACGAAACGTCGAATTTGTTAAGTTCGTAGCAAAAAAGAGGCAGAGTCACAAAAGCAAGATGATATGTCAAATCAAGAATCCTAACGTTTCCATATACGCACGGTCATATTTAAATATTTATTGTATTTGCGTCAGAGCGGCACGATCGTGTTCTAGCGCGACAACTCATGTGTGGATTACGACAAACGTGGATACGGTGACACAACCTCACGATTCTCCGCTGTTCTTTCTCGTATCAGCTGAGAGAGTGCTTTTTATCGCGTGGATCGAAAATAGTCGTGGAGAAGAAAAAAGCGGCGCGAATCTGTACATTCTCGTCGCACGATCAACGCGGCCGCCCGAATGTCGCGTTGACATTGAACGCGACATTGGAGAAACCATGAAGAATCAGATTCGAGATTGTCGTATTTGCAGAATGGGAGTGCATGAGTCCGCATAGAAGTCGTAAATATTTTAACAATTATCGAAACATTTCTTACACTCTCCGACGTTGATTTTGTTCACGTCAATTCTTTTGGTTTCTCTTTTCCCGAGATATTCGGAATTCTTTCCAACACTCGCTCACACATTTACGGTCGAACGCACGACGAGAATACGATGTTCTGCACTGCAATCCAGTCAAAATGACGAAGAAGAGGAATATACGTGAGACAGGAGAAGAAAGAGACGAGTCCTCGTGTATGTGGAACTTGACCTACGAAGGGGATGAATTATAGAAGCAATTCTAATCGATTACCGCGCTGTGGCGAATAGAAACGGACAACAGCACGATGTCGAAGCAGCACTTTCCCGACGGAAACGACGTGGTTTTGGAACCGGGTCGATGATGTTCACGGATCAGGGTCCAACGGTGAAAATCGCGGAACCGAACACCTCGGCAATACACGAAGCCTCGAACTTTCCACGAGAACGAAATCGTGAACAGGCGCGCGTTATGACGCGGCACTCGACCAGCTGCGCCGCCGTCTGATATCGACTGGCCGAGGGTTGGTAGACGACTGAGCACCGCTGGGGGGTTTCTCTGATAAGAACGCACGATACATAGGGAATTTCAAACAACCGCCGTGCGACATCGTACGAATTTGATAAGCTTTGTTTCTTTAAATCGATTGGAGTGTTCAAGTCTCCAATTAATGACTGAATCGTGTTTATGTTTCACAGATTGAGCTTATTAACGAAGAACCTATACATTCCACACATTCCTAATTTTTTTTATTTTGAAAGGAGATTATATTGTTTGGAAGTATAAAACATCAAATAGGTAAGGCATCCTGTATACAATATTTAGAGAAGAGTAGAATTGTTTATTACACAATTTTTATTTTAATTTGAAGTAGTGAATCTTAAGGTTATTTTGAAATATATGATAATGAGCTTTTATTTTAACTGAATGTATGTAATAAATTTGAAGCAAAAGAAAACAGACATATTTCCTCGTAACATTTAAATCTTTTACTACTCATAGTATTTGGATCAATATTAAATGCTTTAATATGAAATATGTTAATTTTATATATATGCATATATGTATATATGTATATATTATATATGCATATATATTATATATATTATATATGTATATATTACATATACATATATATATTATATATATATATATATATATATATATTATACATATATATGTATATATATTATATATATACATATATATATATATATATATATATATA